CTCTATTGTATCACGTACGTCGGCGACAAAGACTCCAGGGCCGTCATTAGAGAGAACGAACTGACGTTTGATGATGGCGCTAACAGGGGCGGTCGACCTTCCAAGATCAAGTCCCAAGTTAAATTCAACGTACTTCTTACATCCTACGAGTTGATATCCATCGACGCCACGTGCTTGGGGTCTATCGAGTGGTCGGTGCTGGTGGTAGACGAAGCTCACAGGCTCAAGAGTAATCAGTCAAAGTTCTTCAGGCTGTTAGCTGGTTACCACATCAACTACAAACTACTACTCACTGGAACACCATTACAGAACAATTTGGAAGAATTGTTCCATCTGCTAAATTTCTTAAATAAAGACAAATTCAATGATCTCGCCGCATTCCAGAATGAATTTGCCGACGTGTCTAAGGAAGAGCAGGTGAAGAGGCTTCACGAGATGTTGGGTCCGCACATGCTGCGACGTCTCAAGGCTGATGTACTCAAGAACATGCCTACCAAATCAGAGTTCATTGTGCGAGTAGAGTTATCCCCCATGCAGAAAAAGTATTACAAATACATTCTGACGAGGAACTACGAGGCCTTGAACCCCAAGAGTGGTGGACAAACCGTTTCGCTACTTAACGTCATGATGGACCTAAAGAAGTGCTGTAATCATCCTTACCTATTCCCTGTGGCGGCTGAAGAAGCTCCGCTTGGTCCTCATGGTAACTATGATACACAGGCTTTAGTGAAGGCTTCAGGCAAACTAGTTCTCATGTCTAAAATGTTGAGACAACTCAAGGAACAAGGACACAGAGTATTGATCTTCTCTCAGATGACAAAAATGTTGGACATACTCGAAGATTTCTTGGAGGGAGAGGGCTATAAATATGAAAGAATTGACGGCGGTATCACCGGTACAATACGTCAGGAAGCTATTGACAGATTCAATGCTCCTGGCGCGCAACAGTTTGTGTTCTTATTGTCGACTAGGGCTGGTGGTCTGGGTATTAACTTGGCCACAGCTGACACTGTCATCATATACGATTCCGACTGGAATCCTCACAACGATATCCAGGCATTTTCACGTGCGCATCGTATCGGTCAGGCCAATAAGGTCATGATCTACCGTTTTGTAACGCGCAACAGTGTCGAGGAGAGAGTTACACAAGTAGCTAAAAGGAAAATGATGTTGACTCACTTGGTCGTACGACCAGGTATGGGCGGTAAAGGCGCTAACTTTACTAAACAAGAATTGGATGACATCTTGAGGTTCGGTACCGAGGAGTTGTTCAAAGAAGAAGAAGGAAAAGAAGAAGCAATTCATTACGACGATAAGGCTGTCGGAGAGTTGTTAGATCGTTCCAAGGAAGGAATAGAACAGAAAGAATCTTGGGCCAATGAGTATCTTAGTTCGTTCAAAGTCGCTAGTTATTCCACTAAGGAAGGCGACGGCGAGGAAGAAGTGGACACGGAAATCATTAAACAAGAAGCTGAAAACACCGACCCTGCATACTGGATCAAACTGCTCAGGCATCACTACGAACAGCACCAAGAAGATCAGGCCAGGACCTTGGGCAAAGGCAAGCGAGTGCGCAAGCAGGTCAATTACAACGACGGTATCGTCGCACAGACCGAGAACAGGGAGGACAGCACGTGGCAGGAGAACGGCTCGGACTACAACTCCGACTTCTCTCAGGGCAGCGAAGACGACAAGGAGGACGACGACTTCGACGAGAAGAACGACAACGGCGAGCTCCTCAGCCGGCGCAGCAAGCGGCGCCTCGAACGGCGCGACGAGCGGGACCGTCCACTGCCGCCCCTACTGGCGCGCGTCGGCGGGAACATGGAGGTACTCGGCTTCAACGCCAGGCAGCGAAAGTCCTTCCTCAATGCTATCATGCGATACGGCATGCCGCCGCAGGATGCCTTCAACTCGCAGTGGCTAGTGAGGGATCTAAGGGGCAAATCTGAGCGAAACTTCAAGGCATATGTCTCGCTCTTTATGCGACATCTTTGCGAACCCGGGGCCGATAACGCTGAGAACTTCGCTGACGGCGTGCCGAGAGAGGGCTTGTCTAGGCAACACGTGTTGACGCGAATCGGAGTGATGAGTTTGATTAGGAAGAAAGTACAAGAATTCGAACACATCAACGGGTACTATAGTATGCCAGAGATGATTCGTAAGCCTGTGGAACCTGTGAAATCGACTACGGGAGAGAGTGCCGCGCCATCACCTGCGCCTTCCACGGCGACACCTATAACTTCAGCCGCGCCGTCTCCAGCACCTACACAGGTTGCCCAGACTTTGGGACAGGCCGCTACTCCTGGTGGCTCCGAGAAAGATGACAAAGAAGAGACTAAAGAGGAAAAATCAGAGAAGGATATCAAAGAAAAGGATGAACCGATGGATACAAGTGACATTAAAGAAGAAAATGTAGATGAAAAGGAATCACCTAAAGAAAAATCAGAAGACAGTAAAGATGGTGAGAGACGCATGTCAGTGGACGAGGAGCCTAAAGACGATGAGAAATCAAATGATAAGAAGGATGAAAAGGAACTGAAGGTGAAGGATGAGAAGGAGGATGTAGATAAGAAAGAAGACGCCAAGAGTGATAAGGCCGAGTCAGAGGCTTCTGAGAAGCCAAAAGATGAAAAGAAGGTAAATAATATAAGTCATCTGTCTTAGAAACATTATTTAGTAGCTTTTATCACATTGTTTTGTGATATTTTCTGTAAATGTTGCAGTTTCAAAAACTTATGATTAATAAATTAAATGCAAATTTTCGCAGGACGATGACGACGACGACGTGGTGCTAGTGAAAGAGGACGAAGACCTAAAGGTGGAGCGTCGCAAGTTCATGTTCAATATCGCGGACGGAGGCTTCACGGAGCTGCACACGCTGTGGCTGAACGAGGAGCGCGCCGCCGCGCCCGGCCGCGAGTACGAGATCTGGCATCGCAGGCACGACTACTGGCTGCTCGCCGGCATCGTCACGCACGGCTACGGCCGCTGGCAGGACATACAGAACGATCTGCGCTTTGCTATCATCAACGAGCCCTTCAAAATGGATGTTGGCAAAGGAAACTTTTTGGAAATCAAGAACAAATTTCTGGCTAGGCGTTTTAAGGTGAGTTTCATTAATTTTTGAAAAGAGTATATTTTCATATTGTACAATGTGATCGGGTATAACCGTTAACGTTATTGTTACCAAATAAGAACTTTATTGAAACTGATATTTTAGGGAATGCCTGTCACTGCAAGGAACTAATAAGATCTGTATGAAATAGCTTTGTAAAATTGAAAAATATGTTCCAGCTCCTGGAACAAGCATTAGTGATTGAAGAACAACTTCGTCGCGCGGCATACCTGAACTTGACCCAGGATCCGAACCACCCCGCCATGTCGCTGAATGCGCGCTTCGCAGAGGTCGAATGCTTGGCCGAGTCACACCAACACCTCAGCAAGGAATCATTGGCTGGCAACAAACCTGCTAATGCTGTATTGCACAAGGTAACGTTAACTGCTGATCTGTGGTCCTCTTTTATATATGTTTGCATTTTATTATTATGCATTTGTGCAAGATTATTATCTAGTTGTCCCATCGTCACTTGGTGGGTTTCGCAAGTAGACGAACTAGAGAAGAAAGTAATACACATTTTGTGTCTGTCTTAAAATATTAATTAATAAATTGCATTTTTATATGTTGTATTTCTGACGATAATAATTACATAGCCAATTGTATGTTTTGTCTAGGTATTAAATCAATTGGAGGAGCTGTTATCGGACATGAAGTCCGACGTTTCCCGGCTGCCGGCGACGCTAGCGCGCATCCCTCCTGTCGCGCAACGTCTGCAGATGTCGGAGCGGTCCATCCTGTCGAGACTAGCTGCCACCGCAGGCAACCCTGTTCCAGCTGGTAATATATTAATTTTGTTACTTTTATTATGGTCTTTGTTAATTCTGGTATTCTTTCTATATCTTCTAAATTATGTGTTTTCTATTCGTGTAACTCTACTAAGACAGATCTAATTTTGTTTCTTAGTTGTCGTGCGTTGTAGTATGAGGACCATCTTTTTAAAAAAGAATGTAAAAGACTAAGTCTATTGCGATGATTCACAACACTTTGCAATTTGTCTGCTTCAATTCTTACACATTTTATTAATTGTTTATACTAATGTGGTAATTGTGTTACAGCGCAAATGGCGCAGTTCCCGGCGGGATTCCAGTCAGGTGGCTCCCTGCCCGGGTTCTCCCCCGCGGCGGCCGCTGCCGCTAACTTCTCCAACTTCCGCCCGCAGTACTCTGTACCCGGACAACCCGCTTCCAGTGGATCCTCTAATGTGAGTATTTAACATTTATTTATAAAATCAAGTTTGCCAGTTGTTACATACTTGTTTCTAATAATTCTTTTTCCTTTTCAGAAATCATAAGCTACATAATTTATACAACATAATTCAACTTGAAAAATTTTGCAGGTATTAAATATTTCCCTTTTCACTTAAATAGTAAATTCCTAGTTTGTATCTTTGAGTAATTAGTAACTTAACATACGTTTGTAGTTAATTTTACGATGCAGTGGTGAATGTAGTAAGATGTCTGATGTAATAATGAAATATAAATTATTTGTTTTAGTGAGCGGCTAATTGGTCACATAGATGAATTATGTTAGATGTAATCTTTCCAAGATTCCTGTTCCACCTTGGGTTTGAAGTGATAATCTTAGTGTATTAGTGCAGTTAGGTAACATATACAAATACTACGTCATTTTGATGCAGAACTCACAATATTATTTATTTCATCCTGATCTGTATGAATCTTGTTTATTGTGTAAGTGATTGTGGAATTTTAAGAAAACCTATTTTTAATTTACCAAAAATGAAAATTGAATAAATCGTATCTTTTAAGTGATTGTTCGTGTATTTTATTTTTACTCCTTAATTCATCCTAACAAAATACCTACAAGGAGATGGGGCCCTGGTATCTTAGAAAATAAATGCGTATATCCATTCAAAAATATCATTTAATTCATGATCGCAATATGTATAACAAACAGTTGCAACAATAAATACTAGAAAAAATATCACCACATGTAAGTATCGTCCTCTGTGTTGTACTTGACACAATCTAAAGGTTTCACGACATTGGGGTCTGATGAACAGAAATGTTGCAGCATCTCTTCACTGATACCACAATCTGAAAGGTTTTCCTTGTTGAATGCTTTGGTAAAATGGTTGGGCTCGTTTTCCTTCGACGATTCATCTGAAAAATGGATAAATTAATTGGTTTAAAAATGAAAGTTAGATAAATGGAGAAACATTTACATACTTTTTGACGGCAAAGGCTTTAAATTTCATTATCTTTTATATACTAGCTTGTGCCCGCGACTTTGTTCGCGTGGAGTAATAACTTCCTGCAGATTTTTGGTTTAAAAACTACCCTATGTTCTTTCTAGAGTTCCAAACTATGTCTGTACCAAATTTCACACAAGTAGGTTCAGTAATTTGGGCGTCAAGAAAAGACAGGCAGGCAGAGTTACTTTTGGATTTATAATATTAGTTTGGATTAAGCCTTTGCCATAATACCATTTTTTTAAATATATACTCAAGGTCCAATACCTCTACGATAATTACATAAAAAAGGTTTAAAAGGGGAATTTCGCAAAAACTACCTTCAGCTATATTACGAGCAGCCCACGAGAAAGCCAGCGTGGGCTGATGATGTGCGAAGGTCGCACTGAACTGCGCCGAGGAACTGGTTTTCAACACGTTGAATAATGTGTGCACTGTCGTCGGCAGAATTGGGCCTCGTAGTTCTATTGAATAATACTTATTGCTATCGGAATGTATTGTGTTTTCACGTACCTGTTAATGTTAAAGCAAATATTACGTAAGTAATAATACGTATTAATTTTTCGAGCAAACAAAATATTTTTTTCACTTTAGAAGCTAAAATGGCAGTGAATAGTATTAACTACTTACTTTTAATGACTGCAGTGTTCCGCCATGGAAGGCCGTTGGAGATAATAAAGTAGGCGGCACCCCAGCGAAGGGCCCGGTGGGGCTCACAATAGACTTGCAGTTGAGTAAAAAATTGAACAATGCTTGCGCATCTGCCCCTCGCACGAACACGAGCGACTCGGCCGCACTGTCAACACTGCTTTCTGCACTGTGGGTTATTCGAGCCTACAAAAAAAAAAAAGATTTTTTGAGATGTTTAACTGAAGATTGCGTTGGTTTATGAGTCCTAGCACCTAAGATATGGTGTCTACCTGTGTAATATTAATTTTCTTAATAACTTCAGTTTCGAAACCCATTTGTGATAGGAGCTGGTCAGGATCGTCATCATCCTCGTCTTCCTTCTTATCCGGTCCATCCTGCGACATCTTGTCGTCCATAGTGTCGTAACAACTGTCGAAAGATGCATTCTTTGGTCTGTCTTCATCTGATGTGTTTAGTTTCTTCTTGCTGTCTGGCCGCAGTGGCATTGTGTATTCCACATCTGAAGATTATTAGTTACTAATTATAATTAACTAAAAATTGGCTGTACAGATTTCCATGCATTTTTTTACAAAAGTGTATAATTTCTGAAGATTCCAATACCACGAGAGAGATATGGTCGGAATGTTTAATGTATAACAAGTATAAAGAGTCGAACTTATAACCAAAGCTGATAAACCTTTTGAAGAAGAAGCACTATTTACCTTCCTGTCGCAGAGTTTGTCGGAATCCACGCGTAGTGGGTGCAATCAACGCGCATGGTTCTGATACCCCACACACTCCCGCCGCGCGAAATAGACAGGTGAACGTATTCGCACACACGTAGAAGTAGGGACAATGAAGTGCGCGAAGCAACTGTAAGACATTAAAATCGATTATGGCGTATTGTTAGGTCACAACAGATGGGTTTCATTTTTACCAGCAAAGAGAATATAGTGTTTTTGCTAAAAATACTTACTGAATTTGTACACAACGTAGCCTACAACGAAACAATGTATTTATTTTTGTAAATAGCGGCTATAAAACAGCACTTTTACACGTCAAAATTATATGTAAAAAACTAGATGAAGCCGGCATTTCCTATTTGACTACTCTGAGAACAACAGTTACAATTTTGAAGAGGTGAAAAATATGAGACATGGATTAGATAACGTTTGTGGGGATTGGGAAACCTGGTAATATGAAAATAAACTTCATAAGAACAAATTGATGATATTAGCTGGTATTTATACCTGAAACAAGGACCTAAAGCTTTCCGTCCATTCCCTGTATATGGCTTGCTTTACATCTTCATTCGTTGCCATGAAACTTGTAGCTGCAACTTTCCCTGACGATCGGGGGTACAGGTCCAACCAGGGTAGGTGTGGGTGTTGCCAGTAAAGGCAAGCTTGATGGAATCGAGCACGCGGTGACGTGTCTAAGGTAGGCGATGTTGTCGTGTCCAGACATCGGACGAAGCTAGAAGAAGTTCATATATTAAATTCCCAAACATTTTATCATCTTTCTACTTTTCTAATAAAGGTCAAGTATTGTCGAGTGGAGGTAAGCAGACCGAGTACCTAAGCATTTGTTTATACAATATCCCATAAACCAGATCGGTGTAAGGAATTAGTTTATATAGTCTTTATTTCCGAGTTATAAGATTAATATGTATGTATAATTTTGTTATTTTTATGCAGGCATACTTTGATCGTAATACATACATTTATCTACGTAAATTGCAGTTAGGTACTTAGATATATATTTTGTGCAGTAAGTATGTCGATAAAAAGTGATAAACTTCTGATAAACCCTTGCATTTTGATGATATCTTAAGTTTAGGTACCTACTTACGTTTGATAATTTTAATTCAAACAATGAAAAATATTTAATCAGTCAATCACTTCTAATTAATTATACCAACAAGCCAAATTAACAACGTAAGAAAACTCATTTCTGATAGAACCTACACATGTTATTCCAGATATTATAAATTATGGGAGCTGCTAACTACTGTGATTATCAAATTCATTCCGCAGACAGATCACTTGGTGGTGAGCAAACGGCGCCGCCTATGGATATCCGCATCATCGACGAGTTATATCGGGATTAGGGTTTTGAAATTTGGTAAATTTGACTATTGAGGATTGATCCTCTGGTAACATCATTCAGACCACTGTGTTGATGTTACCATATGTTACGACGCTGATGATACACAACGTAAGCGTCGTTTTACGCTGGTTTCCTGTGAGGCCGTGTTATTACTCCGATCTAGCCAGCATATTCGTGCCGTAGCATAGCTCGCCTACACTTATAACCATTCTTTGTCATGCCATAAGGAGCCTAAATCTGTTTACAGGTAAGGCCCTAAAAAGAATGGGGCTAATAACCTCCTGAATGCTGTTATGTTAGGGGTTACTATTGAGAATTACTTTAAATGTTAATGTTATTTGTCTTATAACTAAGTGACTTACCCAGTTATCCCTGAAGCTTCTTCACTTGCCTTCAACTTAGAAGTCCATGCAAAAGGTTTTGGGGACATCAATCTTAACTTAGTTTTTAATGCCCAGTCAATGGGTATATGCTTGTATTTCTTCTCGGGAATCTAAAAAGGAAGGGAGGCAATTGACCAATATTATTTTGTATCATATTTATATTTGAAATGTAACATATAGTAGTTACCTGTTCACATGAAAGACCTGTGCATATAAGAAAGTAAACATTATTTTCTACAGGAATTCACAAATTTCTTAATTTTATTTAACAAGGACTTGAATCTATATAATATAATCTTTGGAACCGCTGGTCGGATTGCCAAAATTCTTTCAGTGATAGATAGCTACAATGTTCCTGAGTGCTATAGGTATCTATCTAGTTATCATAAACATCACGCTACGATTAAATGAAACCGCGCGAGAGTAACTAGTAGTACTATAAATTGAAACTAGAGTAGACCTTTAGCTTTACAAGTTTAGTATCTGATTACACTTCATTAGGTAGAAAATAAAATCAAAAACTCTTCCTACAGGTGTCATAATCTAATTGTAAGAGCCAAATAGGGATCTTAAATTAGGTAGACACTATGCAGAAGCACTACCTGAGTAACCTTAATTTTTACACACTGATATCTTAAACCCTCCTGTGTAGGGTAGGCTCTGACATGAAGAAGTCTTTTATAGGCTGTTGCCATGATGGATTTATTAGTAATAAAATAAAACTACTTACAGGCTCCACAGAATGTTCAGCAGTGAATTTCTGTAATAGGTTGGAGAATGTGGACAGTTTCTCTGTGTCCACATCTTTAGCAGGTTTCTCCTGTACTTTAGCAGGCAGGTTCAATAAAGCATACAGTGTCTTGTCATTAGACTCATCCAGTTGATCATCTACTCCTAACTTTGGCTTTTTTTCTTGCTGTTTGTTCCTGAACATGTGATAACAGTTTTAACCAAATAGTTTTTGTAATACAAATTGTTTTAATAGGTTTATGTTGTCCACTTAAATAGGATCAACAGATTAAACACATTTATAATGAAAGGAATTTAACATTTTATTTGTTTTGAAGAGCTGAAGATCAAGCTCTGAGGTATGCTATTGAAGAGGTGTATATGTCGAATGGTGGCTGTGAATGGCTTGATGTTAGTCTCACATGTTTTAATTCATGAAAGTATAAAGTATCTAGCTATTAAATAATGATATTTACAATGTTAATAGAGGTAGACAAAGGGCACAAACCCCGAATGTTCATATTATTTCTATGCCATACAAATAAGTTTATATTATTCTTATCTGTTATGTATTAAGCTCATGTAGGATACTTACTTGGAAAATGGATTTTTCCTTTTCTCCCCTTCTAATATTCTGGAGAAATCTAAATCTACATGTTTTTGACTGCTTGATGGCTCTGCAGCAGGTTGGGAAGGCTGTTTCATGCGTTCCTAAAATGGCAAATATTTCTTGAAGTATAAAACTTATTACCATTATTGTTTGTTTACAAAAACTGATATCCAGTAATCTACAAACATAAACGCAATAGCCGGTTAGGTAGTGTGGATATAGACATCTGCTAATTTTACATTAAAAACTACTGAATTGATTTGAATGAAATTTGGCATTCAGGTTTGGCAGAGACAGATTATAATCTAGGACAAAGGCAGCTTTTCACCTTGGTCCTGCAGGTAAAGCTGATTGATTGCCTTTTGATTTCTTTAGTAGTTTGAAGAATGTGAAGAAGGAACATAAGAACAATACATATATACCACCCACTGTGGACTTGGTATATTAGGTACTGTTATGGTAAGAATAATTTTCTTAATATATAATTGCGATAATATGTAGTTGGAATCAGCTATTACAATTCAGAGTGTTAGTGGGGGCATTATTTTAACAAGATTTCAATAAAACAGGTGAGCATGTAGGTTATGCATTCATTATTAAATAAAAATGTTTTTTTTTTGGTTTAATAGCGTATTAAACATAACATTGATTATTTTCGTGTATTATTACTGTTTTGGTCAGGAAAAACTTATTCTCTAATTAATTAAGTTGAGTTAGTGTTTTGTTTTTGTTAACACAGTTTAAAACTGAGAGTTTATAGTATATGTAGACGAGAGTTTTTAGTACAATTTTTGTTACTTAAATTTTGTTATAATTAACAATATTACAATTATTTACAATCTTTAATACAGTACCTGTAACGCTATTTTTCTTTTTTTCATCTTGTGCAACTTCATTACATCGTTGGGCCTTTTCCATGGCGAAGTGGGTTCCATTGTTACGAAAAATAAATAGAATAAACCGTTATGCAACTTGATTGTTCATTAATTTGTAGAATTTGTTGATTTAAAGTTATCTCATCACTTTGTTTATAAACTACGAAACACCTGGTGAGATGCGCGTTTTACATCAATCAAAAAATCAAACATCAAACACTACGTTGCCCAATGGTGCCAACATTATAACAAAAATAACAGTTACATTGCGTTCCAGGTTCCTATGATTTCCAATTGGACATTTCCAACAATTATCGTTCTGTTACACGAATTAAAATTTGATCTATTTAAAATAGTATACGGTCAAGCGTAAAGCGTTTTTTTTTACTTTAGGGCGCTTTATTCAAAATTGTTTTGAAGCTTAATAATTTTATCAGCTCATATTTTTTATTGATATGTATTGTATGACGGTGAAGTGAATTTTGAAATGATTAAAGCTAACTATTGGATTTATATATTATTGTTTTGATCAATGCATAATTAAATTAAGTACGATACGAGTACTTATAGCATTTATTGTACTTTAGGGTTTTTTTCAATCAGTAATTTATAATCCTCATCATTTAAACTACAAGAAGATCACAGCTGTACATAGGCCTCCGCTAGTGGTTCTCTGCAAATAGTTATTATTTTTTAATTGAGTTTACCTTGTAATCACAGCAGTAAGTTATAAATACTAAAACAATATTGTTGTCGTTTATAACATAAATTAGAAGGACAGGAAACTCCTACACTCTAACGCATGTACAAAAGGAACAAAATTCGTTGACCTATGAAATCTCAGCTCGCGTTTTGGCGACACGTTCCCGCGTTGGCCGGCCGGTTTGTCGCACGTATTACACCGCGGCAGTCACATGCTGCACGCTTTAGCCTCCACATTGCGAGTGGCATCATGGCAGTTTTACTCGAAGCAGTCGAATTTATAAATTAAAAAAAAAATAAGAAAGCGCGCGAAAATGTATTTTCGAAATGAATTTAAATTTCGTAACTTTGAAGCTTGTCAAGAGAATTGATAATTTAAATAAATTAAAAGTTTGTTAGAAAGTTATAAAAAAATGAAATTAACAACACTTATTAGCGACAGTTTTGAAAGCGTGAAGAGGCGTATTTATTTGGTGAGTAATTTTCAATAGGATTATTATTATTAATTCAATTGTAAGTTAAATATTAATATGTTCTTGATTTTAAAATAAAAACTATCTCAAAATGTTTTCGTTATTGTATGTTTATGATATATATTATAGTAGTTACACATAATTTATTTTATTCATTGTTTATTTTATTTGACTATCTCGGGCGCACAATGTGTGAGCGAGTTATTTCGCAAAATTCTGAGAATTATGATGATCTCAACATCACAGTCAATATCGAATGGTTATATTTGTAAACGACATAACGCTTTGTTCGCAAGTCTTGTTGCTACATTCGGGCACTTTATGACCGCAATGTAAAACGTCCAACTTTAAAGAAGCGAAATTACATTTGAGGAGCTTATTTTCCTGGTACAGGAAGATGGGTGAAGGTCTTCTTTAAGGGTTCTTTCGTAACTTAAATAAAACTTGTTTTAAGTTTTTTAATTGGCTGTAATGTCTGAAGTCTGAAAATATTTAAAAATCTATAGAAATCGTTAAAAAAGATGGTTAAATCGGTATTAAATCTAACCAACTGGGTACTTAACTCATTTGCAAAAAAAGTTTATAATAAATATAGCTAGTTTACCTATCAGTACAAACATTTTCATGTTGGACAGCAATCTTTGCGGAAAAAAAGCGCATTTTTTGCTTAAATATTTCTTTTGCATACCTTGTATTTCCCCTTTCTTCCTGTATTTATTTAGTATTGACCCAAAAAATACAATTTTTAATTACACTAGACGTGTAGACGGGTTTATAACAGGAATGCGCGACAAAGCATTTAGGACAAATAAAAGTATTTGGGTCAGGCAGTCGGAAAGTACAAACTTGCAGTAAGCCTCGCGTGATCGTAAAAAACTTAAAAAAGTTAGTTGAACTGCAAACTTTTCTAGGTACTGTCCTTTGTTAGATACCTAGATCTAGGTATTTATTTGTTTGAATGCTTCGGTCTCGTCGGTATACGACCGAAATTAGAAAAAAACAAATCTCGAATTAAACTCTGTAGGTACCTACATTTAGATCGATTTTTGATATTAGTAGAGTTTCTACAGAACACAGGGCATAAAAATAAAAAAAAAATTTTGTTACATTCGGAGTTCGTTCTTAGGGGTACCTAACAGTTGAAGCCGTGATATGGGGGCTAGTGCAATAAAGTACCGCGGCCTCGGCCTGAAGCAGGAGAAGTAACGGAGTGGTTTTAGTTAGTAATAGTTAACTCCTACTGAGTTCTGCTCGTCTAACGAGAGAAGTTCTATGATGATCTTCCCCTTTTTTTTTGTTAACGGGTGGTTCCTTCAAAAGGCGCCCAGCTTTTGGGGAAAAAGACTAGGGTATGTGGGATTTTTCACTCACTAAAACCTCCCTGGTGGCCACTAAAGGCCAACGCCAGAGCGAATGACATTCACGTAAAAAAAAATTAACACTTGACTATAGGATGTTTGGGTAGTGTAAAAGGTATATGTATAGATAGATATACAGGAATTTTAGATGGATATAGGTACTTATCGAAGGTACTCGCTCTATCCTCTGTTAATTTTTATCGCTATTACATTCATCGATTTCTTCTCAAAATCAATCCTTTCCTCCTCTGTCGATCAACTACTTCAAAATGCTAGTAGGTATATTTACAAACGTGGATAGTAAGCAACTTGGGTCGGAGAACATAAATTATACTTTAATACTAATCATTATGATGCGCGTGAGTGTAAATCATTTATCGCTCTGCGCACGCGCTGACAGCTGACTCGATTAAGCGCTGGACATGGACATTTGCTTACTCATTCATTTTATCCCTCTGACTCATAAGTTCATAAGAAAAGGTAACGGTTTTCCTTGAAAGTAGTTAAGTGAATAGTATTCCTTACACTACTTTTATCAAATTACAAGGAAAACTGAAAAAAAGTTATGACACTAGTGTATGTAGGTAGTATTTTATACCATAGCACACATAAAAACGAATTATGAATGATAATATTTATTTTATTTTTTTATTTATCCATTTATTTCAGGCATCGAAGGCCCATATAAACATGTAGGTACATACAATACCTACTATACAAAACAATATAAAACTTAAAAATACTATAAATATATTACATAATATTTAACTCTAACACTATTGCACATGAAGTATCGGCGTATAAATAATGATATGCCTACTACTAATATATATATATATATAATAATATATATATATATATATTAGTAGTAGGCATATATATATATAATAATAATAATAATATATATATATATATATACTAATATATATATATATAATATATATATATATATATATATATATATATATATATATATATATATATATATATATATATATATATATATATATATATATATATATTATGTAATTTTGTGTCTGTATTTTTGAATAGCTAAAAGATAAACGAAACTTAAGAAAATTGTAAATTTTTTCTTAAATTTCAAAACGTTAATTGTGTTTTAAAATTGTAGCTAGACATTGTCCAAACACGTTATTGTTCGCTTAGACACAATAATGTTAAATATGCAAAACGCCTTTAACAGATTTCTGAAATATGTGAAAATTTGCATGGACAGTTTCGGAACTATTTGAACATTAATTTAATTTGAGCTGAACAATGCAAGTAACGTGCCATGAGACCTATAAAGCGTGGATGCAAAGCCAATAAAAATGATTTATTCGATCCAGCTACAGTTATCAGCTGTAACCACCCGAGTACGATCAATCATGCAGTTATGATCATTGCATCATTTGCATTTATGTATCCAGAGTGTTAATAAATCTGATTTCAATTAGTTCTACTCAAATAAATTAGTATAACGATTAGCCTTTTTGTGAGCTTATGGTCATTACTTACGCGTTATAATTGAATGGTAATTTGCTCTCAATTTGATTGAAATAATCTTAATGTATAAGAACGGAGTCGCGTTAGCTACGCCATTATATTGCCATCTAGGACCTACTTAGACTTAAGTATTGGTCATATTTATTCATAACTAACTACTACCACGCGGTTTCACCCGCTGCTTGGCTCCATTTAATCGTAGCGTGATGTTTTATAGCCTATAGCACTCAGGAACATTGTAGTTATCTATCTGTGAAAAAATTTTTGCAATCCGACCAGCGGTCCCAAAGATTACCCCCTACATAAAAATTTACAAACTTACAAATTTTACCTCTTTATAATATTAGTATAGACTAGCAGACCCAACGAACTTCGTGACGCCTCAAAACTAACTCTAAGTCACTCGAGTCAGTTCGAGACCAACAAATAGCAATTAATTTTATGAAGGTATAACATACTTTTTATTGATGATAGTGTTACCGATGGTCTCTTTTTTGAGGGTTATTGTCATAATATATTATTAATCCTCTCGCCTTAGGAGGGCGGGAGAGAGTGTCAGACCTTTACTGACTAAAACCCACTCGTTCCTTTTCCTACTCCAGGCTGCGGTACATTCTTGAGCTTGACTCGCAACCCAAGTATACAGATCAGTTTTTCTAACTATTAGGTCCTTAAGCTTAAGCTTTGTTGGTATTAATGCAAAGAGACCTATGAGAAAAACGGACATTATAGTTCTACAAACAATGTACCAACTTCAATTAACGCTTGTATTTAAATAAGAAACACCTGTGTACTCAATTGCTTAGACATTTGATTTACTAAATAGCGTTAGGACCAGGCTACAAGTTTTAGTGATGATGGAAAAACTGTTTGTTTTAAAGTGTATGACGTATTTTATGTCAGTAGTAGTTTGATGGATGGGTTGACGAAATTGTATATAATTTTAACGTCCTCATCAGCCGATGGTACTAAAGATATTAAAATTTAAAATATATTTAGGTATGTAGTTCGTTGACGTTGTACGCATATAGGCCTAGAAATAATTATTTACGATCGACCTTGTTATCTACTTTTTCAAGGTATAAGTGGTGTAAATAAACTGTGTCTTGTTTTATTGATAAAGTGCGAAATTGATGTGACATCGTCTGAAAATAGTTAATGTTAGATGAAGGCTGATAAAGGTGGAAAGACGACTGTGACGGTAGTCAGTGCCCCGTAATAGAAATAAGGTTTTGAAAATGTTATATAGGATTTCCTCCAATTATTTTGAGTTAAATGACTGCCCTCACCTTGGGTGAGGCGAGAGGGAGTGTCAGACTGTTACTTACTAAAAACCACCTTCTCCTGCAACTGCTCTGCTCTGCGACTCCGGTTTAACATCTGCCCTATTGTCCCCAACTCTTGTGGGCCGCCATATACTAGATATGTGCTTCATTAAGATAACAATAAAAACATTTGATGATAGAGGTATAGATAGTCATATTCTTCATAAAAACGGTAGTCAAAATTGAAACTAAATTAAAATTGACAGGCCAACACATATATATGAATTGAAACTCAATTTACACACATCGTAAAAGCTTTTATTAGCTGCAGTCACCGTACCACATGAGCAGACAGTATATTACATAAATCAATAATAATAGACGGTTGACATTTTGTTTTCAAATACTGGTTCCACCAGTACCAGTTCTTAAAGAATTTTCCAAGAGAAAATTCAATGAATAACATACAAATTTTGGAACACCGAGCAGAAAATTCAAACCATGAGTTTGTCAGGTTTCATTTCCTTCCTGCAAGTTTCCAGTATGAATAGGTGCCTAGGTTCTCAAGGAAACAGGATATTGTTAGCACGTAACAGTCACAGGTAAAATTAACCCCAAGTCATTTGGAAACAGGTTTCTCATTTCCTTTGGTTTGAATTTTCACTTTTATACATAGATTCAGCTTTGGAACTAAAACTGTTTTATGGCACTTAGTCTAATTGTTATTAGGATTAGATAAAAAATAAAGATTGCAGACTCTTGAGACTTTGTCTCTCTCTCTGAAAGATTAGCTAACAATAGCATCTGTGATTGGCAAAAAACCAGGCCAAGTGAGATTTTCAACACACGAAGAATAGTTTTCTACCAAAATTACGTTTGATGTACCTATAGAAGAGTCCCTTTTATTTTGCTTTCAGTATTTTTTGTTATACACAGGCGCAAAGTTGCTAGTTGGTCGGTTTTTATCTGATAGGTAGATACAACTCGGATAATGTTTAAGAGAGCTGTATGACTTGATTCCTCCTAGTGCTTTTCACCATCGAACTACCAGGCAAACGTCATTGTTGCCATCGCCTCACGGTAGATATCCCACTTCTTCTATCTATCTTCTATCCGATAATATTATCAGAACAGCTCCGGCAAAGAATTTCACTCCTTAGTGGTCTGTATTCCCTGAAGAGTATAACCTGGGTGTCTTCTAGTCCCGAGTGATGTGCCAATGTATGCTACATCACCGCTTACCACCAGGCGTGATACCAGCCAATTGCCTTTCGATATGGAAGCCTGTAGAGACCTAATATTGATAGACATTGAAACTTCTGTTATGCCTAATGTATCTTCTGTTATGTCGGTCATTCAAAATGAGCTATTTTGAGATTTCGATATCATTAGCATATTTCGTGAATTACGACATTCCGTTTTACTGTTTACGTTTATGCCGTTATATGAAATATGTACATTTCATATAACGGCATAAACGTATAATTATAGATGCTGATGTCATGAATTACATAACGACTGCTCTATAACAGCTGTAATGTGTCATGGTCATGGTCATGGTTATCCTTAGTTTGCCCATTGTTCTGGTGACCAAGGCTTTGATACTTTACGAAGATGATTGACAATCTAAATAGACTACGTATTAGGTTACTACTTAGGTACCTAGCTCATAAATTGGATCAATTTGTTTACTACTCTTTGAAGGTTCTTTGGTTTAAGAAAGGAAGCCTCTTACTTGTTTTGTTGGAAGTTAATTACGTATATACTTACCACATTAATAAATATATTATAATTTTTAAGAAATTAATACCTACTTAAGCTTTTACACACAAGCATACAAAAAGTGTAGAAAACATTACCGGAGGCCCAATCCTTCCCCTCCTCTAATTCCTAAATCTCCTTATCCCTAAAAGGTCGGCAACGCACTCGTGACTCTTCCATATCTCGGAGGATGGATGGAGGGTGTATGGAAACCCGCAATAAGGTAATCCGACTGCCCGTTTGCCGACCTATTACAAAAAAAAAACTATGTGTTTTGACCTTTTCTTGGGAACTCATCGATGATGAATGATGGTCTTAAACTTACTTGTGTTTTGAAAAGATATATTTATTTTGCGAGTAATCAAATGGCTTTTCTCGCCCAGGGTGAGGCGAGAGGGAGTGCCAGATTCTTACTGATTAAACCCGTTCCTTCTCCTGCTCTAGACCGAGGCCGCGGTAGTACCTTATTGCGCTTGCCCCGCAACCACGGCTGAACATCGGCGATATGGTGAACACCATCTGTGATGGTCTATTGGCTCTTTGAGCCGAAAAGAGTTACTTAAGTGTCCATTTTAATTTTCTTGGGGATTTATTAAATAGTTTTGTTAATTTACTTTTGTATCCAGGAGGTAGATAAGCTCGGCTAACCTCCTTTGTCCCAGCTTGGAAAGTGATTGAACATTTTGCTGCAACTCAAACAACAATTACTCATGAAAGCTATCAGTGAAAATAATTCAATCAATTGAACTATCAATAAATTTTAATTTGTAGCGTTTAATGAAAGTTTGGTATAAAATATTCATGAACATACGCTTCGTGTATTGCATCCGATTTCTCTGCTGTCTCTTTACGAAAATAATTCTGTATTAATGTCATCTCTTTACCATAAACATCTGTACCCAATAAATAAGCAATATTTCAAATATTTTACATTCCTAAATTATTTTACTATGAATGCGGGGAAAATTTTGTGAAATATTCGTATTTAAATTCATAGGGATAAGGTTGATTGATAGCCATCAATTCTGGTACCCTCATAAGATGGATTAATGCACTCACGAGGAAAATCTATCGAATGTGTAATATGTAGATAGGTAGGTAGGTGCCGCTAATGTACGCTATGTGGAGTTTTCCATACAGTGGTAGGCGTGTGTATGTTAAATTTAACACTGATATGATTAATGTTAAATGCAATTAATCAACAGGATAACGATTAAGTACATGCAAAGATCTGAGATGTGCTAAAATTAAGATAGGTACGACTATTTTCGATTATAAATTCTTTTGATTGAATGTTTTTGGATTATCACAAAAAGCTGAGTAGTTAAGAAGTAGTTTTCAGTCATTTATTCACTATGTCAGACTCAATGAAAAACGAAATATAACTTACAACCGTCATAGCTATCGACTAGTATTTAACAATGAGTTACCTTAGCTTAAATAATCGTAGGACCAAATATAATTCATTAACAGTCAAATATTTAGTAGGTATAATATGAGTTCGTTTGCCGAGCCGTGATGATTCGAAGGAGAGACCGCAAGATCAATCAAATATATATTTTATTTGTACTTTATAATATTTTTTTCGTAAATCTTGCTACGTTAAATCCTTATCCAGTTGGGTATTAGGTCATTTCGCACTCTGTTATGACGAACATTTACAATACCTAGGTCGTCTAAAGAAGATTTGTAACGGCTCGTCACAACTTGTTTTATAACGTCTAGTTACGACATCTTCCCACGTCCGTACAATATTTACGTTCAAAATACATAGTTTATTTTAGCACAATGTATAACTTTGTACATAGGTACGTATGTATTGTATTAGTTAAATGTTGAAACCTAAAAGTTGGTGGAAATTCTATTTATTTAATTTGCATGTTTAGTTTAAATTTTATTGCGGGCTCTCCTTTGATGGTAGAGATCGTTTTACAAACAATATTTTGTTTTAAATATATCAGACACGTAATTGGGGAAGATAGAAAATACTTTAACAAGGTACTAAAATACCTCATCTGTTGGCAAAGCACTCGTAATCAGTATTGATGTTGTATAGAGATTACGGTAAATATAAGATAAATAAGATGGCCCGTAAGCTCCGATTTTAAGTAGGTTTTAGGTGTAGGAGAGCCAATCCACAATTCCTTAAATCTCTAACAATACCCCAATAGAGTGGCACCGCGCTTTTATCTCCTCCTTATTACGGGTATCTATAGGCGGCGCCGATTACTTACCACGATTAGCTCATTTATATTAAAAACAGGAACATACAGTACAGCAACTCATAGCAGCATCATATAACTTCCAATCACAACAAACTACCTACACCTACACCATCAAAGCTCCAAATCGAACAAATCCCATAATTCAACACAATACCAATACATGCAACATCTCAATAGCATTCAGTTTGAATGTTGGACATCCGTTAATTAATGCAGGCCCACACTTCACGCTGTCATCGGCTCCATTCACTCGTTCAATGGACGTAGGCACAACACGGCTGTCAAAGGCGGAGTATAGAAAGCCGTAGCTACGCACTGGCTCTGAATAGAGTCTGAAGTGGCTAGGTATACGTTCGTTTACACTTCCGACGCACGAGCCGCACGACCGACGTAAGCTGCTGCAACTTACACTTTATGCTCTTTTACGTTGACTGAAAAGTGACATGTTTCTTCTGTGTCTGGAAAGTTTGATATCAGGTGTTGATACTTTCGTAGTTCTACACTATGTAGGTTTAGGAAAGTAGGTAGAGGACTATATAATAGGGTTGGTAGGGACAAGTTCGTTCAGCCGGACCAATCTTTATGTATCTAAATCTATATATCTAAACTAACATTCCATTCATCTGTCTCTTTTGTTTCAGATATTGTGGATCTCATTAGTGCTGTATCTTTTTTACGATACATTTAATTATTATAGCGTTGGACATCAATTTTATCATTTAAGAAGAATATTAGGGGTAAGTCCCACTCTATATGCTATATCCATTTACAAACGTAACGTGTTAACCCTACTCTTTGCTTTGTAAAATAAAACTGCAATACCTGTTTGAAAAAAGAGAACATGTTATTTCATAAAACGCAGTTTTTTCTCACCTGCCAGCATTCAGCACACAGACTCAAAAAAGGTTGAATAAACCTCGTCGGCGATATTTTTATTTTATTTTCTATTTCAGTTAGGACTATGCATCTCCCGTGGCACGGCAACTGTTATAAATTTGTGTTGCGCTTTGGTGTTACTTCCTCTATGCAAGAAGTTAAATCAGTTGCTGTACAGAGTATTATCGAAACTATGGCCAGGACTGTTCTTTTTCTGGTTAGAAAAAGCGAAGAGTTTTCATATGACAGTTGCAATTACGTTGTTAATTTTTGCTGGTAAGTATGTTATCATTTTTATTTGATGTTAGTCGGTAAATGGGTATAAGAACTTATCCTGAAAATGTAGAATTCAATACTTTAAGTACCTAAGGATATTTTTTCTCTATAAATCGTGCGTGTTAACGTAGCGTGGAATGCAATTAAAACGTGTTTTCGTTGCGTTACCGACTCAAAGAGGAGTTATAAATGTAGACTGAAAATGTGTTAAAAATACCCACCTACTGAAAGAATTACAGAACGATAAAATGTATACCGAGAAATCTACTAAACGATTCTAGGCAGCTGGGCCATTTAATAAATAATTAACGTGTGATATACAAACTTCATAGAAACAGTTAAATTTTTAAATAGTGGGGATTATTTCCAGCCCGTCTCCAACCTGAAATTGAAAGAGAATTTTGTCAATGGGTTCCATTTTTGAAACATTCACAAAGCGAATTGGAAATGGCGGAAGGCTCGTTAAAGCTCTCCGCGTATGTAGAGCACCATTAAGCTGTTGAGACGAAGGCTAATGGCTGCCACACCACTGTTAGGATGCCTAGCTATTGTTCCTGAACTAGAATGTGGGTTCTAGTTGGTCAATTTTCAGTTTACCTGTAAATAAAACTTCCTTAGGGGAACCACGTTTCTCGAGAACTTCATGCCAAATACTCAGATTTTAAAAGCTTTTGTTCCGTCATCATGCCTTAAAGCGACACAGACAAAAGCGATTTTAAACTTAATTATGAGAAGTATTTACGTTTCAATATATTTAGGAGATGCATTTTAGTCTTTAGTAAATTTATCAAGATAAGATATCGAAATATTCAATACAAAAGCACATTAACATACTGAAGTAATTTGCTTCGAACAGTTTATACCAACCATTATTCACAAGAAAGTTACACAACAACTTCCGTACCTGAGTACAATTTATAGAAGATTTCGAAACACCTGCGATACAGTCCTTAACTAGGTACAAAACTACAAACAGTTAGGTATTAGGTAAGCTGAACGCACAGTCAGCGGAACAATTTACTAAGCAGGCCAAAAAAAAATTACTTTGTAGGTATAGAAATAATAGCTGTAATATATTCTCTCTAGTGACCATTGATTCAATAGTCATCTTATGGTCACCTATTTTGTCTGTACCTACTGAATAAATTTTATTTTCTAACTAGCATCCTACTATTCCTGCTGTCCTAATAATTTTCTCTCTCTGTCTGTTTGTTATTCTTTCACGCAAAAATGGCTGAATTGGTTTGGTTGAAATTTGATATGTAGATAGGTGATTCCCTAGTTTAACACATGAGCTGATTTTTATCAACATACCTCTCGGCTTAGCTGCCGCCTGAAGCTAGTACTAAATAGTTAAGCTAACAGTAGTTATTGTTTCCAGTGGTACATTCCATTTCTCACCTGGTGAACTTATGGAATTTCTCCAGAGGGTACGACGAACAAAACGCCGAGATTAACTTCGCGAGGTATAGAAACGAGGTTAGTATCAAACTTTTAGTTATTCCAGATTAGATTTACGTAAAGTTGGTTAGTAAAGTGTTCAGGTGTTTGTGGTAAAGTTGAGTTGATGTAGATTGTTATTGTAAGATTTGGGGTTACGTAGATGGGGAAATCCGTGGAGCTATCATTTGTTATTGTTGTTTAAAATAATGTTTGAAATTTTTAAATGAAACGTCATATTGTTACTGTAGTTGGATTAGTAGAGTCAGGATGTAACAGATGGCTATCAAGGTTTTAGTGATTTTTATGGGTGCATCTTTTTGGCTTCTTTATTACCTATATAGAAAATGGAATTTACGGTGTAGTCGAGTGTATGAACTCAGTGTTAAGAATAAAATGTTGTTTGAAGTACATTAAAATATTCGAATAAGTATTTTAAATTCGTCAAACGATTTAACGTACCTTCAAGCTTTATTCTTGTCTGGCGGTAAGATTACGTCATATAATTGGTTTGTGTAGGTCACAAGAATTACTGTGTTTTGGGGTCTCGCAGTAACTACTGAGAGATGAGGATGAGATAACGGTAGGTCTATTAACAAAATCAACTTTTGGATCTCTTTGTTACATTTTTATCCTGGATTTTTGAATTATTCCAAACAAATTTAGAAGTGCAGGCGACTTATGCGCAATAACGTAGGTACTGCGATCCATGGCCTTGGCTTGAAGCATGAGATGAAACAGGATGGTTTTTAGGCAGCAAAAGTATACCTCTATCTTGTAGCTCCTCCCAGGGTTGCGGGGTAAGCGCAATAAGGTACCGCGACCTCGGCACAGAGCAGGAGAAGGAACAGGGGGGTTTTTAGTCAGTAAGAGTCTGACACTCCCTCCTGCCCGGCCCTGGGCGGGAGAAGTCATTTGATGATTTTCCCCTCACAAAAAAAAAAAAACCCAGATTGGGAGAAAGTATTTGATTTTCATCCCTTTCGAAATACCCATGACTTCGAGTTAGGCAATGGTACTTAGGGACATTAAACATCTGGGTCAGCCAAATCATAGGTAAAGGAATACCAACATTGATTTCCTCTTCCAGAATCCTCTACGCCTGCTACTAAGTACGGCAGGTCTAACAGGCGTATCCATGTTAATAATAATTATTTCCATGGGTTTTACATCGATGAGGGTCGTCCGTCGAAGAGTTTACAATGCCTTCTGGTATACCCATCAACTTTATTTACTGTTCATCGTGCTTCTCATTATACATCCATTGAGGTAAGTCTGCCTGATTAAGATTTTTATTTAAATTTCAGTGTTTTTTTTTTTGTTTAAATCAGATAGTAGAGTCCATAATAACAGATGGTGGTACGTGTTGCAAAGTCTTATTATGCTATTTCTGCAGTGTTTTATGTGATTCCAAAGTTGAGTGGCTATGTTGTTTATGTTCTAACTAGCGGACACCCGAGGCTCCGCCCGCGTGAAAGTTGATATTACATATTTCAAGATTTTATTTTTATTTTCTCTACGTAACTTTTAAGCTTTTGTGATGAAAATTTTGCAATATCTTAATGTCGGACAAATTCGTTTTTTTATTTCATTTCTTGTCATTTGACCTTATGCATCATCCCCATCGATAGGTGTAAAACTACGCAAGGAATTTAGAAATTCCTTTTCAATAGATACTATTTATAATTTCATATTAAAGAGCGGTTTTTTCTAACAGAAAATCAACAAGCGTACACCACGTAGGGCAGTGACGCACACGACCAAAGCTCAAAATACATTTGACTTTTTAAGACCATGCCGAATAATGAGTTATTGAAAACAATGTCAATGGTTAAAAAAATAACAAAGAAAAGCGAGTTCTTATAACTGTCGCCTGTATTAACGTCCACCGCTGCACAAAAGCTGTAAGAAGGCTTATTTTAGTGCTTACTTTATGTGCTAACGCAACAAAGTTTGCCGAAGTAGGGCCTATACGCGATTTATCAAGTACTCGGGTCGTCAGCCATAACGGTTAATAATATTTTTCCTTATTTATTTGTGACTATTGAAGAGACGTGGTGGCCCGGTGGCTGGAACCTTGCAAGCACCTACACTAGACAATATCACTTCTACCAAGTTTTATGTACTTTCGAAGATTATTTAGACACCACTGAAAAACTGTGAAGGAAAATATTCTGAGTAAACCTGGACTTGTAATTAGTAAACTTGTAATTAGTAGTTATAACTACTAAATACAAGTTGGAAAATGACAATGCCTTGAACCAGCAGTGTGATTAGTGCTTAAACCTTATGCGTGTTAGAAGAGGTCTGCTAAGCAGTGGGCAGTTATATGCTGATGATGGGATCTGATGTGTGTTTGAAGAAACTTTTAACTTATAAGGAGGAATACTTTATACTGTTCCTTTGTTTATATGTGTGCATGTGAAATAATATATAAATATAATATATATTAATATTATAAAGCTGTCGAGTATGTTTAAACTCGCTAAGCTCAGGGACTATTGGTTCGAATTGGAATATTATTTTATTTTTTTGTTTTTTAGTTCATTTATTGAGGAAGTGTGGGCACGAATGGGCCGGCTCGACCGGAGTGATACCACGGCCTCACAGAAAACCGGCGTGAAATAACCACTGCGTTGTGTTTCGCCGTGTGAGTGAGGTTACCGGAGGCCCAATCCTTCCCCTTCCCTAATCCCTCCTCAATCCCTTAATCTCCAAATCCCTAATCCCTAAAAGGTCGGCAACGCACTCGTAACTCCTCCGTTGCGAGTGTCCATGGGCGGCGCTGATTGCTTACCATCAGGTAATCCGTCTGCTCGTTTGCCGACCTATTACATAAAAAAAAGACTATATACTATAATCTAAAAATCACAGCGAAACACAGCGGTAGAATAGCTAGTAAAATAAATAAAATCTGTACATAAATCGTACCGGTATCAAGCCAAATCATATGCGTATGAGTCAGGTTAAAGATCGTGAATCATTTCGAATTTTATGAAAGCTTTGGCCATATAAAGTTAAGAACCTGTAGTATATTTATTGTAATACGTGCCAAGGTTTCATAATTAATTAATGACGCAGAAGACAAGCTTTTATTAAGACTTCTTTTATTTAAGATTGGCTTTGTTTAGGAAAAATGGATTTCTAAGACATCTTGATCCTTATGATGGAGTTTTAATAGAATAGTTTAAAATTTAAGAGTAAAATAGATGGTTTTTCTTTCGTTCTAAAATAGACGCATAGTTCTGTTACCCTATACCCGACTGTTATATGGTCTGTATTTAAAATTGGATATATAATTAATGTTTTTGTTTCAGTGGTGTTCTAAAGGAACAAATTATAGAAACTGAAGCTAGTCTTAATGATAGTCAAGATGAGAATACTCCGAGATTCGTAGCCATCAAATCAACGGTAAGTTTTAGACACATATATTTTTTTCGAAAAATACAATCTATTCTCTAGTAAATACAGAACTTAATTGCGTGTACGTTAAAAGAAGTTTTGGTCTGAGATTGATTTATATTTACATACAGAAGACCTCTCAGTCTGCGTCTGACGGTCGGGGTAACCCTTTTCATACGGCCTACAGCCTCTCAAGGGAGGGCCATTATAATGCGTCTTAAGTAAAGTCTCATTCAGACAGCAGAGGGCGTCTACTAGGGTAATCTAATAAGTATATTAATGGCTCCTAATTGATTGCTCCACACGTTCAACTAATGCACTCATGTCCTTATATTTGGACTTTGAATTTCGGTGGGTATGTGTTCTGTTTTGTCACTGTACTATTGGGAAGCCTTTAGAGCCATAATAGTCTAACTGCCGGCCGCTCACAGTGTTATTTAATAGTTACTTACTTAGAAATTGTTTTGGAACAAAATCGTTGCCAAGTGATGGTTTAAGTAATCATGAAATATCTCTGAGTATGACAGTAACGTCCTTATTTTAAATGAAATTTTCTCAAACCAATCAAACTTGAATTGCATCGGCATTAGTTTTTAAAACTTCAGTACCTAGTCCTAAGTCATCGTTATAGCGTTGTATTTCTATTCATAGACATATTTAAATAAAATAAATGAAGTATGCTGTTTTATTTTTAATTGCGACTATTAAAACGGATATTCTATTCCTACGTTTAATCCAAAAACGTTGGGATAGGCCTCTCCCTTAACTTTATTTAGGACCTTTACTTCTCACTATGTAAATTCTATATAACTTGACGATTTATGTAAATCTATGCGTATCACCAGATCCTATGATTGAATTAATTCCCTCTGAATTAACATGACAACCCAGACGCCCGCATTCTCTAAATGGTTCGCATTGATACCTACACGTACACTTAATTCTATAGAGAGACGTCTAGACCATACAATGATTGGATAAGTTATTCCATTTCCAATTCTTCCAAGAAATTATTAAACTTTCTGTAAAAAAAATAACTTAAAAAATAATTTTCGTGTTACACGGGACTGTTTTGTGAGACATCATTATGTATATTTTGCTTTACGGCTTACGTAACGTCTTCCTAACGTTCATCGCTCATTGCTTCTCTTGACCACTGAGTCTCTCGTGGCTTGAAACTAGTCGAGGTTCAAAAAACATACCTATAACTGTTTCTTTATCCGCGTTTGTCTATTCATCTGGGAGTTCGTTTAAATATTTTTGTGCGAATTCAAATCAAATACACGTTTTATTTTGTTCTACTTTCTGCCAGTGCAGTGCCCGCGTTACTGAAATAATAAGTACCCCATAGGTTATTCAAGACTTTAATCTATCTCAGTAACAAATTACATTCGAATCTATTCTGTAGTTTTTAAGTGAAAAAATAATAAACATTAATTCTGAATTCATCCATCCATACCTTCGGGATTGCGGGGTAAGCACAATAAGGCACCGCGGTCTCGGCCTAAAGCAGGAGAAGGAACGGGGGGTTTTTGGTCAGTAAGACTCTGTGTGTGTCTGACACGCGGAGGCGTGGGCGTGGGCGAGGCGAGGCGAGGCGAGGAGTCGCCTCACCCTGGGCGAAAAAGTCATTTGATGATTATCCACTCACAAAAAAATTTACTGTTTGACTTAGATTTTTCCGATCATATTTAGAATGAGCTACATCTAGATTTGCCAGTTTAGTATACAAAACTATTTAACATTATAACATAACAAATAGTAGCTGCTTTAAGATGTTAGAAATAGTATCTAGTACAATAACCTTAACTAAGTCTGAACTAGATTAGTAAACAAGTGCTTCTAAGTATTAAACGTAAGAACCTAATGCTAGGTACCCTATACACATTGTAACATCGTTGTGCTATCACCATCCTTAACCAAAATGTAGAACGTACTAACGGAATATTGGTTCTATATTTTTATGACTTTCATTAAGTCAGCATAGCTGGAATAAATGGAGCTGGAGTAGCGCTGACTAGGTACTTATCATAGTATCACCCTCTGTCGTTGGCCTTAAAATAAGGATGTCTTTCAACCAGGACTCGCTTGAGACCGTCGTTCTTAAATAAATTTGCTTCTCTAAGCCATACAATAGTTATTTTGATACTAAGAAAAGATTCTCAGTAAAGTTGGTCTTTTAAACTCAATAAAACTACTTGTACATCATCTAACAGTTTTAACCTCATTCTATCATGTCGTTAATTCAAGTTCTATGAAACGTAACCAATTCATTGATTTGGTTTTCCTCAATATGATTCCTTATTCATAAAGTTGACTTGCCACCTTTTGTGATCCGTAGGTATAAGTAATTGTCAAGTACTTAGTTATTTTTATACCAATAAATAAATAAATAAAATAAAAATAAAAAAGCCTTTTATTTCTTGCTAAAAATAAAAATACATTTAAAAACTAAATTAAATTTAAAAAAATCCGTTACAAACAGTGTTTTAGTATTTGATTTAATATTTTTTTTTTTTTCTCTCTTTTCAAGAACCCCTCGCTTGGAAGGTAAAGGCCTCCTCCAGAGATAGCCAGCGATTTCTATCTTCTGCTACTCGCATCCAGTTTTTTCCTGCTATTTTGTTGATGTCGTCTGTCCAGCGCGCATTTGGTTTACCCTTTCTTCTTTGACCTGAAGGACCTAGCCAAGACGTTGTTTTTCTGGTCCAGCGGTTGTCACTGAGTCTAGCTACATGTCCTGCCCATCGCCATTTTAATTTCTGTGCATAACTGAGGGCATCGATGACTTTGGTTTTCTGTCTTATATCTATATGGCGGATTTTTTGGATTTTTCTGATTTTTAGGATACTTCTCTCCATACTCCTTTGTGTTGTTATGATCTTGTTTTTTATTTTGTTTGTGAATTTCCATGTTTGACAGGCATAAGTTAGAGAGGGAAGCAGGCAGGTATTCATGACTTTTCTTTTCAGCTTTATGGTCATGTCGCTTTTCAGAATTTCCTTGAGACTCCAGAATTTTTTCCAAGTGATGTTGACTCTTCTCTCTACCTCTTTTGCGTTATTGTTTGGGTTGAATGAGATTTGTTTTCCCAGGTAAATGTAGTTGTCAACATAGATTAAAGGTAGATTTTTAAGATATATAGGTATTTTAGTGTGGTTCGTCATAACATTTGTTTTATTTAAGTTGATTTCTAATCCTACTTTTCGACTTTCTTCGTGTAGAGAGTTTATCATTATTTGTAGCTGGTTTGAGTTTTCAGATAGTAAAATTAAGTCGTCAGCAAATCTGAGATGACTCAAGTAACTGCCATTTATATATATGCCGGCTTTCTTCCAGTTTAGGTTGCGGAAGATGGACTCTAGTACCGCTATAAAGATTGTTGGGGAGATAGCCTGACGCTTCGTTTTATCTGTATTATTGGCCCAGTTGTCTCTAACTTGACTCTGCTAGTATTGTTGTCATAAATGTTTTTCAGGACTTGTATGTAATCCAATGCTACTTCTTGAGAGAGTAGAGCTTTCCAGATCGACGGGTGAAGTAGGGTGTCGAAGGCTTTTTGATAATCAATAAAAACGACATAGAGTGGTCTGTTGAACTCTTGAAATTTTTCTATAACCATCTCTAGCGTGTGTATATGGTCAGTCGTACTAAAACCTCGTCTGAAGCCTGCCTGTTCTATAGGTTGAAATTTTTCTGTGGGTTCCTTAATTTTTTTCTCTATTATGGAGGAAAAAAGTTTATATAATGAAGGTAGTAGGCTAATCGGTCTATAATTGCTGATGTCGTTAGGATCACCCTTTTTGTAGAGCAAAATTATTTCCGACTCTGACCATTGGCGTGGAGAGTTTTTGCAGCTCAGTATCTTGTTGAAAAGTCTAGTCAGAGGTTGGACTAGATGCTTGCATCCTAATTTTATGGCTTCGTTGGTAATCCTGTCGGGTCCGGGACTTTTATCTGATTTTAACGCTTTAATTCCTCTCAGCACTTCGTCTTCATCAATAGATGCTTTCAGCTCTCCCTCTCTATTTCTTGGTAATTTATATGGTGGTTGATTTGGCGAGTTATAAAGGTTTCTGTAGAAATCTGTTGCTATGTTGAGTATTTCTGTTCGGTTTTGTGTATTGTTAGATTTATTTTTCAACTCTTCAATCCATGAATTGTGTGATTTCAGTTCTTTATACGCCTTCTTGACGCTTCCCGTGGCCTGAAGATGTTTTTCAATAGTTTGTGTGCGATGTGCCTTATAGTCTTGGTTGATTTGTTTGCTAATGAGCTTATATAGAGCTCGTAGTTCGTTTTTCATAGCTCTTGATTTCGGTTTTAACTTATGTAAAGCTTGCCTTCTGCTAATTAGTACTTTTGTACGTGCTGATAAAACTTGGTTTTTCTTTGTGGCGGTGTTGGATGACATTTCGTGTGCTTTTTTTAAGCTTGTATTAATTGCGTTTGTTATTTTATCGTAGCCATTCTGTACGTCATCCCAGTCTTCGAGTAGATTTGTGACACAACTGTTCAGTGATTTGACGTAAGTTTGTATTTCATTCTCGTTCCTTAACTGTGATCTGGTGCTTTGGCCGAATTGGCTACGGTTTTTTGGTTTTGAGGATAAATTGAAAGTTACCCTAATCGGTCTATGGTCCGAAGGGTAAGTGATATTTAAGACTTGTATGTTGTCTATGTTTTTTGGTAAGTTTGTTAAGATGAAGTCTATTTCATTTTTTGTATAGCCATTCGGTGATCTCCAGGTCCATCTCTGTTTGTTATTCTTTTTGAAATAAGTATTCATAATGCTTAAGTTGTTCGCATGCGCAAAATCAATGAGTCGACTTCCTCTACCATTTCTTTTTCCGTAGCCGTATTTTCCCGTGATGGTTTCGTTTGGTCTTGGTTGCCCAATTCTGGCGTTAAAGTCGCCCATTACTATTAGGTTCTTTCCTGAAAGTTGTATGGCGCTATCGATAGTTTTGTAGAAAAGCTCTATTTCTTCTTTTTTCGCAGATTCTGTTGGGGCGTAGGCTTGAATGATACTTAGGTCTAAGTTGTTGATTTGTATATTTAGTAGCGCTACTCTTTCTGACAGTCCCTTAAAGCATATTAAATATTTCTTTAAATGTTTTTTGATAATAAAGCCTACTCCATACAATCCTGGTGTACTTCCAATATGGTAGAGAATTAATTCTTCGTGTTCTTCTATTTTGGTGCCGAGTTTTCTGGTTTCGGAGAGACCTATAATATCGTATTTTACGTTTCTTAAGGATTCTGTTAGTTCCAGTAGACGTGGATAAGTTGATAGGGTTCTAACATTATAGGACATTATATGTAAGATGTCGTGACGCTGGATTCTTGCTGGTGTTTCATCTGAAGGGTTTTGGTCGTAATCTTCCACGGGGACCGGCCGGATTGGAAGATGTGGTTTGGTGTTCGTTTTTGTTTGTAATTTGTTCTTCGTGAGAGAGGGTCGTAATTGCTATTGTTTTTTGTTTTGGTTTATTTGGGCGTTTGGTACAATGTTTTCGTTGTTAGTGGTTCGGGTATTAGTTGTTAGGAAACTAAGTATTCCTGGTTTGATCACCCCTTCTGATATGCTTGATGATCTTTGTATTTTTATTCCAGTTTTATTCTTTTTATTAGCCTGTGTTTTTGGTTCTGTTTGCGATATATCTTTAAAATTTGGTGATATTGGTAGAGCCCTTTTTTTAATGTTCGAATTATCTGTATTTTTGTTGTGAATTATCAGTTTGTCGTACTTGATAGTGGCGAAGTTTCCTTTTTCTCTTTCAATATTTATTTGCTCTTGCAGTTCTCTTCTTTTTTCTAGAACATGTCGTGGGAAATCTTCTTTTATATAGTAAGCGGTGTCTTTTAAAACATTTCTCCTTTTAAAAATTTCAATTCTCGTGCCCAGTGTAGTAAATGTAACCGTGATCGGCCGGGGCTTGTCTCCTTTCTTCCCTATTCTTCTGGTTTCTTGTATATCTCTTAGTTCTAGTCCAGCAGAGAAATGTTGATTAATGAAAGTTAGTATTGTTGTTTCTAAATCTTTATATGATTTTTCAGCTTCAGGTAAGCCAAAAAATACTATGTTCCTCTGTCTTGACTGTTTTTCGAGAATATATAGTCTTTTTTCTTGGTTTTCCATCTTTTCTTTGAGGTTTTCGTATTTTTCTATGTTCTATGAAACGTAACCAATTCATTGATTTGGTTTTCCTCAATATGATTCCTTATTCATAAAGTTGACTTGCCACCTTTTGTGATCCGTAGGTATAAGTAATTGTCAAGTACTTAGTTATTTTTATACCAATATACCTACTTAATACTCAGGGTTATAATAAGGATGCCCTCACTAGGATTTTCTCCTGTGTCGTATTTGCGTTTACAAACATACAATTTCACATAATAACCCGTCACACGCAGATCTAGAAAAACATTCTGTGGATCATTGAACGAGTTATTCGGTGTTGTTTTTGACGGACTGCTAACGATCTGATGGGGAGCTATTGTTGACGCCCATAGACACCAGAGTAGTTACGAGTACCTACTTTGGGGATTAGGATTTAGGGATTGGGTAAGTTGGTGAATTAGGATTCCGGTACCTCACTTACGCGGCGAAACATAAGGTTATGGTTGGAACAC